CTGATCACCAAGGTTTATGAGACAGGAGCCACCAAAACCCACACGTACACTAAATATACATATGCATGTGCCTTTCAAGGCTCCAAGAATATCCTTGATGGTAGTGTTCTCTTCCAAACATGTCCCAGGACACATTATTTCTGAAAATGAACAGTGATCTGTCAGGCACCTATTCAAACACAATACTTACTCTTGTTCTGGACAAATATGGATGTGTGGTGACTATAAATAGTATTTGCTCCCTTGAAAGTTCTCATGTTTTATTGTTTTACAAACGGTGAACCACAGAGAATTTCCTTTGACCTTTTTGACACTGAAAATGAAAATGGTTTTTATGTGAAAGCTACAGAGTAGGGCCTAGTTGATTCAAACCAGTTTAGTTTGTAGTCCAAACAGGAAAAAAACATGAACTTTTCACTTTCATATTTGGTTTGAAATGAAACAAAATCTTATTTTTTTCTTTCAGTTTGAAAGAGAAGATCAGATTTCATGTTTTTTTAACCCTTCATTGTGTGATGGCTTGTTACAAGATCATTAAAATAAAAGTAGTAGCATTAACCCTCTGGGGTCCGAGGGTGATTTGGGGCCCTGACATGCCCTGACATTTGTGCTTTTTTCAGTTGCTTACAAACATTTCAATGTCTAAAGTTTAATAACACTGTAATCAGCACAAACTGGGCTACAATAATATGTGAGCAGCATATGTACTTGATTGTGTTTTTGAGAAAACAACGTTTATGCGTGCTTAGTGAAAAACTTTCACAATGCTTTCCTGATTTTTATGCTGTTGTCTGCAACAAAAATGATCAGATTTGGATACTGAGCAAATAAAAATGATCAGTCACAAATTGCAAAACATCCATTGCTGAAGCTTTAGACAAAATCTTAAAAATAAATAAATAAATAAAATAATTTACAAAAAGTTTGCATGTTTTGGAGTTCATAATTGAGGAAGAAAATAAAATATCTTAAATACCTTAGTTTTATTCAGAGGCCCAAAATGAGAAGAAAATTAGCAAATTGCATATTTGGTAATGCACTGTAAATCAATGAGATCTTCATAACATAAAATTATATAAATACTGTATCAGTTGTCACTCTATTTCTCCCAATAATGTCTTAGAAAAGATGAAGACCTATATATCTAGCTTTAACCTTTTTTTTTTCTTCCAAAACTTCTTTTACTAAGGCTTTGTCAACATTCGAAGCTCATTTGAATTTCAACCCATATGCAATGCATATGCCATTTGTCCTTTCAAATGCTCAAGCTCAGTCAATAAAAATTGAAAAAGTCGTAGTCGATACTTAGAAAGGTCTTTTTTTCTTTTTGGTCTGATCTTCACACTTGCTGCCTGCCTCTTACATTGCTAACCCACTCCAGGTGGAGTGGCGTTGGCGTCCTAGAGAGATAGTTGGGAATTGCAGAGGGGGCAAGAGGTGTCAGATCCTGAAAAGGCAGAGAGAGGAACCCGATAGTGGCTGGGTGCTGGAGGTCTGGACTGGGGCAGAAGGGTCTGGGGCTCCGGGTATTGAAGGCAGGATTATTGGGGACAGGCTGAGGAGAGATGAGGGCAGAGAGCAGTCTGACCCAGCGGGAGACAGAGAGAGAGAAAGAAAGGAAGAGTGGGTGAGATGGGGGTTAAACATTCAAAGAGAGACTAAGGAAAGGAATGAGATTCAAGAAATGCTGGAGAAACCACAAGGAAAATGAAAGAAAGAATGAATGAAAGAAAAAAATAATGACTATTTCAGCCAACCTTTTAATGAAATGAAGCACAATATAATATGCAGTATTATAGTATATATTCCTATCTCAGGAATATTTGATTACGATTGGTAAATTGTGTAATTTTATGGTTAAATATTTTTGTGTATGATCTCTAGACTGTTGTCCACCACACAACCGATTTCCTTCATAGTTGTGCTAGCTTAATGTCTTTTGTATCACTTTGCATAATAAAAGTATTTCTAATTAATGTTTCAAATCAATTTTACATTTGGTTTATTTTGAAATAATTCAGATTTTTTTTTTCCCCCTTAGCAATACAGATTTTATAATGTATTCAAATAAATCATGTTCTTTTCAACTTACCATTCATCAATAAATCCTAAAATTCACACAAAAAACACAACTGTTTTTAAAATTGATAATTAGAACTGTTCCATGAGCACAAAATCAGCATATTCGAATGATTTCTGAAGGATCATGTGACACTGAAGACTGAAAATTCAGCTTTGCCATCACAGGAATAAATTACATTTCAAAATATACTAAAACAAAACCAGTTATTTAAAAAATAATTATTGTTTGGTAATGCATTTAAAAGGTATTTGCTATTATGTTTATTGTTAACCTTTAAAGCAACAAACAAGCAACATTTTAGATATGCTAACATGTAACTATAGTGTGATTAAATCACAATCAATTAAATGTACAACTGATTAAATCGAAGCATGTTTATTATTATTTATTTATATACTGTTATAGTTTTTAATAATATTTTAATGACCTTTATATACCTTTATTATAGATTTTTAGATTAATTTTTATATTTTCAGTTTTTTAGTTTAATTTTTATTTTTATTAATTTGGTGCTTTTGTCTTTCTATTATTTATTTATTTTTATTTTTAGTTCACTTTTAGTTTTTTTAGTTTATTTCCAGTTAGTAATTCAGATTTATTTCAAATAGCAAAAATGTTTTTATTAGTTGTAGTTAACAATAATAACCCTGAACTGTACAAAGTTTATCCTCCTAGAACAGAATATCCCACTAATAAAACTATGATTTTATATAACTTTACAGTTCAACTAATACACATTTTATATGGAAGAATGAATAAAAACAGAATGAATTGCACATTTCAGTACTTTTTCTAAATGCAATTTTTGTATGCAACAGATGCTGTCTATAGAGCTTGTTTGAATAAATACCTTGTAGTTGTCCAAGAAAAAAAGAAATGAAAAATAAAGAAAAAATAAAACAAAATAAAAGTGTGTTTTAGATATATGTGGTTGTGGACCAACAGGTTTCACTCTCTCACTGATGTCTCCACAAACACACACTCATATTCCAGGCGGACTTGACCTCCTGACAGATGAACCTATTTCTCTTTCATTCTTTTCCTCTTCTCTTCCTCTCTTCTCTCTGATAGCGTCTGAGACACAGGACATCTCCACACTAAGGTGCTGAAAGACACGTTCTGTGACAGAGACCACAACTGCTGTTGGACCACACACACACACACACACACACACACACACACACAACCTGCCTCAGTCTTTGCAATTATCAGTGAACATGAACACGGCCATCACCGTCAAGTCTTATTAAAAAGTATTTCTGTATTGTCGTTGTGTAAGTTAAAATAAATATAAGTAGCATTAAAACAGTGTGTTGTGTGCAGTTCAAGACAAAACTAGCAGCACAACACGTGGAAGCTTGTTTGTAATGTTAATCCCTTTCTTCTTTATAGCCTAAAGGCATGATTATTCAAATCAGGCGGCTCCTCATAAAGGTTAAACACACACACAGGTTTGTTTTTATGGTTTATGACACACACACACACACACACACACACACACACCAACTAAAGGTGACTTTCGGATGAACACACTCAAATATCATTTGAATCTGAAGTAACAAGATTCTGCTGAGAAAGACCATTGACATGTTTAAATAAAATTTATATGGGTTTGTTAGGATTAAACCTTTTAAAAGATGTGCCTTTGCAGAGGTTTCCTAAACTAACTACAAGTGTTCCACTTTGGTAAATAAATATGCTGGCAAAACCAAAGAGTGACTTTGAAAAACAAAACGTGACTGCTTCTAGTGGTCAGTGGAGAAACTGCATTATGACAGACAACATGGTGAACTAGGTGCTATTACGAAATTAACATGCTAATACATAAAGCATTTATTTTATTAACAAACAGACCTAGAGGAGCTTATGATTATGACTAATTGGCATCTGTACTACTAAATGATGTCCTAATCTGTATATACACAATGTTCCTGTACATTTTCTACAGTGAATTTCCATGAGCGTTTCCCATCCAGTTGTTCATAAGTACAGGAAAATAATTAAAGCAGATGTTTTGGCACATCAGACAGGTACTAATTTAGGAGTTAATGGATTTAAAAGATTACACTTGTTTACAAAAATATATTTAGTGTTTTATTAGTCTTGTCTCCAAGGAGACTCTCAAAAGACAGACTGATGTTTCATTCTGACTTTGCAGCACTCATAAAGAGTAATATCTAGCCAATGAAATAGCTTAAAGCAGAGAAACCCAGAAAAATACATTTTCTTTAAAGAAATTTCCACCTTTCCCTCACGTTTTCCACATTTATGACTTTTCCAGGCCTTTCAAAATTCCGTGATATTTTTTGAGGTTTTCCATGTCCTATTCCAAGGTCATAGAAAATAAACTTTGTTTTAAACCTTATTACTGATAACACATTCAAAACAGCGGTTGGTTACACATCTGTATACATATCCCTAATCAACAGGTTTCCTCCATTACACAAAACACACCAACAAACCAAATCCTTAGAGGCTTTTCCCACACATTTAACTGTCCAACACAAAACACTACCATGTTCAAAAAAGGAAAAATCATCCCACTGTTTACACATGTACAGTACAAACAGCAAAGTCTTCTGTCAACTAGTCAGATTCACTCTCCTGTCATGCTTTGCAAAGATAAAGCTAGAGTGTTTTGGTCAAATGATATACTACTTAGTGCATGTTGTTATTAAAATCAGTTATTAAGGCTGTTAAAACATTAGAATGACAGACTAACAAACAAGCATGATTAAAATGAATGTATATCACTCTAAAATTGATTGCACAAAATGTTTTTAAAAACACAACCCTAAGGCATTCAAATTTAAGAAATGTATTTAGAAACCGCTTTTAAAAATACTGTTACTTAAAAGCAACAACTTAAGATTACAGTTACAGAATTCCATGACAGATTTAAAAGTTAAAGGCACAGTTCACCCAGAAATGCAGGATTTTTTTTTACTAATCTTCATGTCATTCCAAACCTGTATGAATTCTTTGGAACATTAAAATTGACTGAAAATCTTCCCTTGTGCTGTAGTTCTAAAATGAACCAATGGTGTATGTTGTTAACATGCAATTTCTGAACTTTCAGTAGTCTATTTTAGAATTTAGTAAATAACTGTTGACTTCACAGAGTGAAGACAAAATGCAATAATACTGAACTTGAGAAAAATGGCTTCAATGTTTTTTGATTGAATTTTGATTGATGTATGTAGTCAAATAAACCGCTTTTATGCTACTTTGATGTTCTTTATCTGTCATTTTGGAGCTTGCTTGACAGGCCGAATCCCCATTCACTGGAAAAGAGCGTACAGGATATTGTTCAAAAATATGCCTTTTGCATTCCTGAAAAAAGACATTAATATGGGTTTGGAATGATATGAGGGTGAATAAATGATGACAGAACTTTCATTCTGGGCAAAACTATGGAAATGTAAAGATGAACAAGCTGATACATCTATGCATATACAAAAACCCGCTAATATGCACACTCTTTTTAGTCAGATTTTTTTTCCTGCACTATTTCATTACTGTGAAAACAGGCTGAAAGGCTCACACTACAGAAACCTTTGACTTTGACACCCGCCCCTGTAGAGGGAGAGCGAGGACATCAGGGATATCGGTGCTTCTTACGCCATGCGTAATAAGAGATGTCTCTACAGAGGCAGGTTCAGGTCAAGTTACAGATCAGATGCGCTCAGATCCACTTTTAAATGACATTTTTAGTACATTCTTAGTCTTCCTGTACTCATATTAGGCTTTGGTATTTTTTTCTGAACAAATAAAGCCGCATGCAATATTCTCTATTCATCATTCTGTATCATTGTCACTTGTATTGTAGTATTTTTCATCTGTAAATCACTTTGGAAATAGCATCTACTAAATGAATAAATGTAAAAGTCATTATTCATGCTGTAAGTCTGTTTGTAGTTGTAGTTTTGTGTTTAGTGCTGCTTTGAAAGAGCATTAGCATTCATCCAAAGTTTAGGATTAAACTTAAACCGAAGATTAGACTGCAGTTTTGATGCTGATCCCATCTGTGGGTTTGTATTGGACAATCAAGGGTGGTCAAAAGTGGATGATGCAATCAATTGCCGCCTTCTGGGTTTCAGCTTCAGAGAGCCATAGCGAGGCTTTAAAAACAATACAACATCAATACACAGTTAATTTTCAGTAAATATTACAGTGGGGTCTAAAAGACTGAGACCACCAGGGAAAATGTTTGTATTTTGTATTCTTCTTTAGATTATGACATAGTTGAACATACGATTTTTGCATGTGCAAATAATATACCTCTTTGCGTGCTGCTTTGGCACGGGTGAGTTTCACACTCTGAGATCGGCGTAGACCCTTCTGCACTGACGCCTCGTCTTCGGAGAATACTCCATCTGTTTCCTCCTCATGCCCCTCCCCTGCTCGTTTACATGGCTCTGTTGGAGCAGATGCACAATAAAGATCTATTGAGGAAGCAATAAAGATCTCAAACAAGAGGAACTGAACCTTGAAGGATAAGTTTACCCAAAAAAATGAAAATTCTGTCATCATTTACTCACCCTCAGGTCACACTAAACCCATATTGTGAATTTGTGCAACTTGAGAACTTTTCCATACAATCACAACTAATGGATTCTGAAGCTTTCAAGCCTCATAAAGGATGCAAAAGTGCAATGAAAAGTATTGGAATATGGTGAAAAAGTTGTTTGGAGCTTATTTATCACAGGTCTCTATTCATTTTAATTTCGCTAATGGTTTTTATTTTGTTTTTTGGTTACGTTTCTATTGACCAGCTGAACTTTCCATCAGGATTGCTTTTCAAACCTTGTTCTACCACTAGAGGGAGACATAATAATTACTTTCTGATGACAATGCACTCCACTAGGGTTCATTTGCCCTTGAGGTCTTAAAATGCTAATGTTGACTCTTACAGTTAATTTGTTTCTTTAGTTAAATTTGAGTTAAATCAGTATTTAATTTAATTTAGTTTTTCATAATTACATAATCAATCATTTATCATTATATAATCAGCAATGATGTCATTAAAGGAAAAGTGTACCCAAAAATCTAAATTTGCTAAAACTTACTCATCCCAGGCCATCCGAGTTATAGATGAATTATTTTTTTCCTCTGAACAGATTTGGAGAAATGTTGCATTACATCACTTGCTTTATATCACTGCAGTGAATGGGTGCCACCAGAATGAGAGTAGTTGACAAAAACATCACAATAACCCACAAGTTATGCAAGTAATACACAAGCTGCGTGTTTGTAATAAATCCATCATTAAGACATTTTTAACTTTATTCGCTTTTGAGTCCTCTATCCATAATATTGCTTTCTCCAGTGCAAAAGTCATCACGTCTGAATCAGGAAAAAAATATGCACAGATCAAGCACCATTTACAAGTGAAAACAGTCCAGAACAGTTCTAAATAAATATATTTGTGGATTTTGATGTGAGAGGACAACAGGGGAAGGACTTTTTCACTGGAGGAAGCATTATTATGGTTTATGGACTGGTATTTTGGACAGAAGTGACAGTTTAAAGTTAAAACACCTTTATGATGGATTTGTCTCTTACAAACGCACAGCTTTTCACTTCACAAGATGTTAATTGATGCACTGGATTCATGTGGATTACTTGATTATTATGATGTTTTTATAAGTTGATGGACTCTCATTGTGACGGCACCCATTCACTGTAGAGGAGCAAGTGATGTAATGCTAATTTTCTCCAAATCCGTTTCGGTAAAGAAACAAACTCATCTAAATCTTGTACATCAGCCTGAGGGTGAGTAAATTCCCAGCAAGTTTTTGTTTTGTGGGGTGGGGGGGTGTTGAACTATTCTTTTATTCTTTTAACGCATGTACAGCACTCACCAGAATCAGCAGCACTAGGGTTAGCAGGCTGGAGGGCCCGTCGGCTGGGGTTGGCGAATGCTGATTGTTCAGAGGGGAACTGCGTCAGGTCTGGAATACTGAAACTCCTCAGACGTTCACTGATAGCTCCCTGTCCCTGTGACATGATGATCCATTGTACATGGTGCATTGAGTAAACAGAATTCAAAACCCAAAAACCTTTGAAGTTGTGGTTACCTTTATAATACACAAAGACATCTTTTATTTAACTTCCCAGTTAATAATGGTCTAATGACGTGCTGGTGACAGGTTAAAGCAGATTGAAAAAGAAAGCAAGTTACCTGGGATAGGTGCAGCAGCTACTGCTGGAGATTAGTTTAGCATGTAGACAGAAAGAGAAAGGAAAAAGGAAGATATGAACTAGATTTTTACATTTTCTGCAGAAAACATAAGTGGTGCTCAGAACATCATTACCAACAGCATAGCAACGCATAACAATGGGGCAGATGGTTGCCAGAGTGTTGCTATGCATTCACCAAGGTTTTCTGAGTGATTTTTAGAGTGTTGCTATGTGGTTGCTAGGGTGTTCTGGGTGGTTGCTTACTGGCCAGAGTTGAAAGAGCCTAAATGTCTATGATATTCTTGTTTCTAGATAAGAACAGTAGACCTTAGCAAAAACAGAAGAGCACTAGTGATTTAGATCTTTTTTTAGGAACCAGACATGGCCAGACAGCAAATTTGATTTTAAAAAAGCAGTCAAGAGAACAGGAGAGGCCACAGTGAAGAACACATGCAATTTTTGCAGTGCATTTTTATGTCCTTAACATGCTGTATATTTTTTATATTATACATATTAGTGCTGTCAATCGATAAAAAACAAAAAAACAAATCACATATTTTTTCTAAAATTAATCACGATTAATCCCACCTTAAAAACAATTCAATTCAATCTTCAAATGAATGTAGAAACAACATAAAGACTGTGTATATTTCATATGTTTAATGGCATCTTTTTTATGACTGAAGGCGAGTATCACTGATACCAATACTACTGATATCTCTAGGAATTTTTTTTTCTTAATATTCAACCATTGACTATAGCCATTCAACATTACAGTATAATTGAGAGCTATCAATTTTTAAATTTAGTAGACCCATTATAATAAATGTCATATTTAGCTTCCTGTGCACTTCAGCAAGTAGGAAATATACAGAAATTGAATAAAGTTATCAAACACTAAATTCTAAATTAAATATAAATCCTTAAAGCTGCAAACGTTATTGATTTCCTCATTTTTCTTTGATTAACAGACATCACAGCAGCTGGGTTATTAGGTTATTTTGGCTGCTTTAAGAGCTGTTGCTGCTGAACATGACGCAGATCTGACACGCATCATCTTTTCTCACAACTCTTTACCTTTTCTGACCCACTTCAGGTCTTAAAGTCTCTACTAATGCGTTGATGAGTTGAATCTTGTGTGTTAGATGAGGGAGACAGTGCTAGGCTGCTCCAGGACAGTTTTGAAAACTGCATTTCAGAGACATTTTCTTAAATGTGACTCATAACAAATACTTACATGCATGCACAGTTTTAATGCAGCTTTAATCGCCTTTTTGGTAACTTCATGATTTAACTGACGACATAACTATGACATTGCTATGTATTTGAATTTGTATTTATTGTTATTTATGTCTTTATTATTTATAATTACAAAGGAGTGAAATTTTTTTTCTGTAAATTTTTTTTTACAGATTTTTTATTTATTTATTTAAATTACAGAATAGAAGAGTTAAACGTCATTTACATTTTTTTTTAATTAAGATATTCAATGTGCATTTTTAATGCCACTTTTTTCAGTATTAGTACACTGCATAGAACTATCCATGCAAATACAATTGATCTAATTTAGGAGGACCCAAGCCAGCTTTTTTTTTATGTCACGAAACGAATTAAATGCACAGGAATTTAACCGAACTGAAACTGAACCTAACAGACTGGTTCCTCTAAGTGGCCTGAGGAAAATAAACGGAGCTCAACATCTGCAACAACAGATACAAGCCCTTTTCATAAACCATAAAGGCTAGACAGTGAAAAGTCATACAACAGAGAAGAATGGTAAAATGTTAATAAAACCACTTGATGCTAAATTACTCCATGCAATCCAATAACAAGTATTTATTTGCCTCTTTCCAGACTGTATATGTATATTTACCAAGCCTTCTTAATATTCAACCATTGACTATAGCCATTCAACATTACAGTATAATTGAGAGCTATCAATTTTTAAATTTAGTAGACCCATTATAATAAATGTCATATTTAGCTTCCTGTGCACTTCAGCAAGTAGGAAATATACAGAAATTGAATAAAGTTATCAAACACTAAATTCTAAATTAAATATAAATCCTTAAAGCTGCAAACGTTATTGATTTCCTCATTTTTCTTTGATTAACAGACATCACAGCAGCTGGGTTATTAGGTTATTTTGGCTGCTTTAAGAGCTGTTGCTGCTGAACATGACGCAGATCTGACACGCATCATCTTTTCTCACAACTCTTTACCTTTTCTGACCCACTTCAGGTCTTAAAGTCTCTACTAATGCGTTGATGAGTTGAATCTTGTGTGTTAGATGAGGGAGACAGTGCTAGGCTGCTCCAGGACAGTTTTGAAAACTGCATTTCAGAGACATTTTCTTAAATGTGACTCATAACAAATACTTACATGCATGCACAGTTTTAATGCAGCTTTAATCGCCTTTTTGGTAACTTCATGATTTAACTGACGACATAACTATGACATTGCATGGTCATAGTTTCAATTTGAGCTTTATTATATACAACGTGCGTCACTGCATTTGTTTGTGCGCTACGAGCACTGTATAACGGCTGACAGGACAGGAAAATTAGTTTTTACTGACACATGGCCTGACAACATCTCATCTGACCGCAGTTCACTGTTGTTCTACTGAAGCTCCCCCGTCACCTGTACCTTTTCCGCACTCGTTTGACTTGCGCCTGGCGCTAAGGCGAAGTTGGGGTGCGCGTCTGAAAAGTATCCGCTTTGATGTGTTCATAAAGATGTTCTGTGTCTAAATAAATGCAATTCTTGTCAAGAGAAAAGAGACAGAAGCAGCAGTTGTGAGCGGGGAGGCCAACCCTAGCTCCGACCCTGTGTTAATTGCATTAAATATTTTTAACGCGTTAAACTGAAAAAAATGTATTACATGCGTTAACGCGCTAATACTTAACAACCTATAAACCTTACTGACCCCATACTTGTATATATAAGTTTCCAAAAAATGATTTCTGAAGGATCATGTATCATGTGACACTGAAGACTACAGTAATGGCTGCTATTACTGTTATTACTGTATTTTTCATCAAATAAATGCAGCCTTTGTGAGCATTTAACTTTTTATTTTAAATTTATGACAGCTTAACAGAAATAAAAGTAAACAATGAATCACAAAAGAAATAATGTATCAATGCAAAACAATGTTTCTGTTTACATGGAATGAAAGCTGTTAGCTGACCAAATCAGCTTAGTTAGTTAGATGAGCTCAAATGCCTAGTATAAACACTGCATGCGTGTATGAATGAGCACGTGTCTGTGCAATACCTTCACAGCAGCGGAGACAGCAGCAGCAGCCGCAATCGTGAGACCCTGCCGCCCAAAATTCACCATGGTCTCATAACTTTTCTCTCTGGCCTGGACGATATACTCGTCAATCTCCTGAAAAACAGAATGTGAAACAGTCAATAAATCTATAACTTAAATTCCCCCTTAACCTCCAACTAGGAGTTGTTTGACAACAAACAATTACAGAGGGCTGGAAACAAAATATGCAGGCGCAGTTAAACGAACCGTGCAGTTTACTGTTAGTTCATAATGATCATGTAATCGAGACATGCAACTAACCCAATCCATCAGTTTATCTCTTAACATCATTTATGTAATCACTGATTATGTAATCCTCCCGATTCCATAACACATTTCAGTATGGCTATGTGTTCACTGTCAGTGAATGCCTATTCCCAGGGAACCTGATGATATGCTTAGGTCATTACCCTCTCCTTGGATGCCAGCATAGGGTGTAGGAACTTCCTGTAGAGGACACTGGCTCCTCTAGTGTAGGGAGACAGCAACCAAAAGACGAAAGCCATTTTCACTTCGTAGTAAACTGGAAACCTGAAACAGTCAAGTACAAAAAATATGAAAACAGAGGGATGATGGAAGACAAAATAATGAATTTGATCTAGGCGTTCTCTTCAATTTTATTTTCATGGACCTCAGCCTTGGTGGATCAATTTAATGAAACTACGGCTGTTTAATAGACACAAATTCAATGGTCTCCACCACTGTGTAAAGAGCAAACACAATCCAGTACATCATCCATCGCACCTGTCAAACCACAACACAAACACAAAATGTCTACTGGAGGTATAGAAGAGCTGCTTACAAAAACTTACCATGTAAATACTATAATATGAATATTATTCATACACTATATGATATACATCAAAGTACAATGGTATCACATCACTGTACCATGGTACAGTCACTGTATTTTTTGTAAGGAGAGAAACGGAAGTAGCTGGAAGAGACCACAAACAGGGCACACATGGTGGAAGAACAGTATTAAATTGCTAATCAGCTCAGGGTTTAGTTACTGACAGCCTCTGTCAGATACAAAGAGTAACCAGGATATATGGACAGTTTAGCTGAAGCTCTCCATCTATTCTGGCTATTAACATTCTCTAAAGTCAAATATTAAGATGTGAAGAATCAGCAGAACACAGCTGGATAAAGATATGCATGTGCCTTTATATGAATTGAGTACTCACATATTCTTTGACATTCTTGGATTTGACGGCTTTAAAGGAGTAGTACGCAGGATACAGCGTTCCAAACACAAGACTGTGATAAAACACACACAGACATATACATTATATTCAAAAATATCATGTACCTGTTAAATGCAAGCAAACAAATAAAGGTTGGTGAACTAACAGTAACACTCAACCAATCTTTTTTTTTTTTTTTTTTTTTTAAATGTAAGATATACTGATATATCTATATAGGTTATTGGCCAGTATTAGGGATTATTTTCCATTTATTTTTGCATTTGGATTATCTTAAATTCTTAAAAACACTAATAATTGAATTTATATTGAGTTAATCTTTAAATACAGTAATAATTTAATAACACCATTAATATCCCTTTTTTCTACTGTACATTATAATGTTGTGGTGACTAAATACTTGTAGCATTTAAATTGACTAATCTTAGTTTTATGTGATCTATTTTTAATTTATTTAGACAAAATAAAGTGTAGAATTCAATAAATGATCAGTTATGGGCCATTACATGAAAATAATTATTGGTCATGACATGAAAATGATTATCAACTTTTTGTATCAACCATAATTTAAATATCGGTGGATTCCTATGCACAATTTTACATTTGATGATAATCCATCCATTTTATTTGGATGCCCACCCAGATGGCAAATCAAGCCTTTGCCTTAAAGGCCTACTCAAATATTGAAACCAGAACAATGATTATTCAAAATGCTTTATTTATTGTGACAGATGAGATTGAAATCCCATTTTTTTATTCCCCAAAAGAGGTGTTGAACACCTCACTTTAGTACATACACAAAGTAAATCCACAGCCTTCTCTGTAACTGGCTTGTGTTTCACTGAACCATATATTTTCGAGTAGCTATGGGAACGACATCACTGCCTGATACCGTCTAAAGTTATGTGTGATCATGGGTGTGTGTGGTGAGAGACTGTTGGATGGATTCCATTTATTGCGTAACAGTTTCTCCACTCTAAAACATCTCTACCACAAAGCAAAATATATGCTGAAGTCAAGAGTAGAGATCATCTCTTAACTCAAAACAGTGAAACTGTTTGTAATTAAACATCTTCAGCATCACCAAGTCACCATTTCCAAACACAGCCTGCCTTGCTTTTACTACTAGACAGAAGAAAGTGTTTAAACGTCAAATGCTGTGAGAACACATTAGAGTCACAATGGTTTAGTCAAGCATTTCCTATTACGCTGTTCGCTGGGAGAACTCGTGAGGGTAAAAAAAGAAGGGAAAGAATAGGAATGAGTGTGTGTGTGTGTGTGTGTGTGTGTGTCAGTGAGAGAGAGAGAGAGAAAGAGAGAGAGAGAGAGAGAGAGATGTTACTGCACATCTCTAAAACAGCTAGGCCTTGTTTGCCGGCGGCAAATAATTCATCATGTTAACTTACAGTAAGAACACAAAAGGCATTTCAAGAGAACTTTAGACTTTGAAAGTGACTATAGCCTACTATATATAAATGTATTTCTATCAGTGAAGACCAGAGACCCTTATCTCTTATATTGTCAGTACACTAAAGATAACCAAACCCATAGCAAACAGCACCTAGTGAGATGAGGCACGGAATGTGCTTCCCTATGCTGACCTTTTCCGCAAAGAAAGAGACGCACCTTCTGTAACATTACGGTCCAGCAGGAAAACAGCAGTTCCTCCCTGGCAGCCAGGGACTCTGAATAAAGCAGGTCTCCAGCCAAAAACATGATGAATTTCCTGTTCTACTCCACCAAGTCAGCAAAATTAATGTAGGGTTTGTTTTTTCCCCTGCATAATTTGTGAATTTTTATTATGGTTGATTCAGAGGTTCCTACACTTTCTTACCAGTGAATTTCCAAGATTTTTCCATTATTTTTCCTATGATTTGTGATGACTTGATAAGGTTTTTGTGCATTCACAAACAGTCATTTCCAGCCTACTAAATACTTCAGATCTGAGTATAACTATATTGACTGTAAATATTTACATGACCTTTTAAAATTGTATTAATTTCCATTACTTTTCAGGGCCTGGACATTTCCTGGTACATTCCAGATTTCCTAGGACAGTGGGAACCTTGTTGATTGTGAAAGTATATAAAATAAAAATACTGCAGAAATTGAATAACTGTAAGTGTTATTTACTATATTGGGGACAAAACGCTATATATGCATGTCGGTTTTTTTCTTCTTCAGAAAATAATCGACAACTTGTTTTATGGGCTTATAGTACTGTTTTGTATTGTAACTATGTAGATATTAGACAGTAGCATAGATTTTATCCGTATGAACTAACGTAAATGCGCAGTCAGACTCAGCAGTTTTCACTAATGTACTGTAAGCTCAGAAACGCAAATAGTTTTCAATAAATACTCACACGATGGCCCTAGATATAATCCACGACACCATCTTCCAACCTGTTGCACTTTTAAGTTATGAGATTCGCTGCAGGTCCAGTCCAGAAGCATAAACTATTCAAATAAACTATAACTAATAATAACTTCTGTCTCGCTTCTCCAACCGCTAAAACTCAACCAATGAGTTCCTGTTTTTAACGCATGCTTCCTGATATCCACAAGTTTGCAAGATGACATCGTTATTTGACGAATAACCACTCATCCCAGCTGTTGTCCTCTCCTTACATGATGTTCCGTTGTGTTAAAAAAGAGTATGTATTGTTTTCCTCTTCTCAAATCCTTTTCGGACTAGGGACTGTGTCACCTTTGATGGCTCGACTGGCCACTGATTGGACGGAGCCGCTGGTTTATCCCGCCTTCTGCGTTTACTGATTGGACCACTGACTCAGCGCCAAACAGGGTCACAGGGCGGAGCGGCTCATCGCTTGCACGCTGTTTGCGTACCAGGTTAGGAATGATTGAGTTTGAAACAGGTAATTTGGAAACGTTTTTTATTTGAAGATGTTAAATGCTCTTCAAATAAAAAACGTTTCCAAATTACCTGTTTCAAACTCAATCATTCCTAACCTGGTACGCAAACAGCGTGCAAGCGATGAGCCGCTCCGCCCTGTGACCCTGTTTGGCGCTGAGTCAGTGGTCCAATCAGTAAACGCAGAAGGCGGGATAAACCAGCGGCTCCGTCCAATCAGTGGCCAGTCGAGCCATCAAAGGTGACACAGTCCCTAGTCCGAAAAGGATTTGAGAAGAGGAAAACAATACATACTCTTTTTTAACACAACGGAACATCATGTAAGGAGAGGACAACAGCTGGGATGAGTGGTTATTCGTCAAATAACGATGTCATCTTGCAAACTTGTGGATATCAGGAAGCATGCGTTAAAAACAGGAACTCATTGGTTGAGTTTTAGCGGTTGGAGAAGCGAGACAGAAGTTATTATTAGTTATAGTTTATTTGAATAGTTTATGCTTCTGGACTGGACCTGCAGCGAATCTCATAACTTAAAAGTGCAACAGGTTGGAAGATGGTGTCGTGGATTATATCTAGGGCCATCGTGTGAGTATTTATTGAAAACTATTTGCGTTTCTGAGCTTACAGTACATTAGTGAAAACTGCTGAGTCTGACTGCGCATTTACGTTAGTTCATACGGATAAAATCTATGCTACTGTCTAATATCTACATAGTTACAATACAAAACAGTACTATAAGCCCATAAAACAAGTTGTCGATTATTTTCTGAAGAAGAAAAAAACCGACATGCATATATAGCGTTTTGTCCCCAATATAGTAAATAACACTTACAGTTATTCAATTTCTGCAGTATTTTTATTTTATATACTTTCACAATCAACAAGGTTCCCACTGTCCTAGGAAATCTTTTTTTCTTCTTCAGAAAATAATCGACAACTTGTTTTATGGGCTTATAGTACTGTTTTGTATTGTAACTATGTAGATATTAGACAGTAGCATAGATTTTATCCGTATGAACTAACGTAAATGCGCAGTCAGACTCAGCAGTTTTCACTAATGTACTGTAAGCTCAGAAACGCAAATAGTTTTCAATAAATACTCACACGATGGCCCTAGATATAATCCACGACACCATCTTCCAACCTGTTGCACTTTTAAGTTATGAGATTCGCTGCAGGTCCAGTCCAGAAGCATAAACTATTCAAATAAACTATAACTAATAATAACTTCTGTCTCGCTTCTCCAACCACTAAAACTCAACCAATGAGTTCCTGTTTTTAACGCATGCTTCCTGATATCCACAAGTTTGCAAGATGACATCGTTATTTGACGAATAACCACTCATTCCAGCTGTTGTCCTCTCCTTACATGGTGTTCCGTTGTGTTAAAAAAAGAGTATGTATTGTTTTCCTTTTCTCAAATCCTTTTCGGACTAGGGACTATGTCACCTTTGATGGCTCGACTGGCCACTGATTGGACGGAGCCGCTGGTTTATCCCGCCTTCTGCGTTTACTGATTGGACCACTGACTCAGCGCCAAACAGGGTCACAGGGCGGAGCGGCTCATCGCTTGCACGCTGTTTGCGTACCAGGATAGGAATGATTGAGTTTGAAACAGGTAATTTGGAAACGTTTTTTATTTGAAGATGTTAAATGCTCTTCGATGCATGGGAGGACAGATACGTTGATTTTTTTATTTTTATTTTAAATGTTTGTATTGTCGTTTAGTCTGATTTGTCATCTTTTGACATCTTTAGAAGTACACTAGCATATAGATGACCTCAAAGCTATAAGAGACATACTAAAAACATCACTACTCCAAGTTATCTCAGTGGAACTACGCTGTAGGTAATTTCCAGTTATAAGATCCTAAAATTTGAGGCCTTGCAGACATGCAGGGTGATTTTTAATTTTGTTATTATTATTATTATTATGTTGGTTACTGAAAGAAAGAAAATAGGCAATATTTTATTGTTGCAATAATGTAGGTTAGTTATATAATAGATGGTAACTGTAAATGCAATATTGTTTCGCTATATAAAATGAATGAAAAAAAGATGATGCATCAGAAAGTTTATGGTTGGATTGCTAAACAATGAAAAACAGCTGAAGATTTTCTGCCACATCTGTTTTAGGTTTTCATCATTTGCCCTCAAGTCAATTTTGCAGTGTGCATTAGATTGTTAAAATGCACTTAGAGGGGAGTAGCACAGCACAGTGGTTAATGGTGACTTTAACCTTTCTGTTGTAGATGTTTAAACTGCACCCAACTGTGATCCTTTGACCCACACTGAGAATAGAAATGAAAAAAGTATGAATTCTTGATTATGGTACACTGGCTCTAAAGACCACCCTTAAGGAAATCTGGTCTAAAAGTATGATAGAAATATTGGCAAAGCTTAAATATTGCATCTTTTGCAACACTGTGTTGTGGTTCTACAGGTTTTTAAGAAAATACTATAGTGGCCATGTAGTGTTAGGAGTAAATAACATCCATGGGGCCTTTGAGGGTCTTTAGTTTCAATGTACCATGTCATAGAAAAACTGTGTGGGGGTGGGGGGGCTAAATAGGGACAGTCCATCTCAAGTGGTCCAGTGGAGTTGGTTGACCATTTTTAATTTTCCTTACTTTTTTGAGTGATTGCGTCTATGTATTGGTATTGCAAAACCTTTTTTCACTTTGTTTAACCACAGCACCATCTCTGTGTCATAAATATTTGACACATTCTTGTTATCTTGTTAAGTCCAAATGTAAAGATCTAGATTGCTCAGGGTTTCACTTATAGGGTCAATTTATAATGGGAAGGATTTGGGCCTTAATTTTTTTAGGGAGATTAAATTACATTTTTTATATGCAGAACATGCATACATTTCAGGTTTGAGACGTTTAAAATACGCATTTTGAGTAAGAATCTCAGTTTGTATTTGTAATTTTTATTGTCTGTTACAGGTAATGCCACCTGGAGACAGACAGTCATTGGAGAAGAACTTTTCCATAGATTTGATCACTTACCAGCTGTCATAAAATCAACTATTTTTTTTCTCAACAGATTACCACAGTTTAATATAATAATAGCTTTCATGTAGCTCAAACAGTAGAGCATGGAGCTAGCAGTGCCAAGGTCATGGTTTCAGGAAAACAAAAAAACTGATCAAATGTGTGTATGTATCTTGTATCTTGAATGCAATATAAGTTGTTTTGGACAAAAGCGTCCGTAAAATGTAAATAATAATAATATAATAATTTAATTTTATATTTTAATAAAATAGTAGTTAAATTCTTTCATATTTTAAATGATAAAAAATGATATTAAAATATAATAAGTTAATATTTTAATTAAGAAAAACATCAATGATGTTATAAGAGTGACATCATTAAACAATTATGAAACTATTCACAAAACAAAAATGCCAAATCCCTCAAAGAAAGCGCTCCCTCTTTTGTGTAGGCTCCAGGATTGGTTCAAGGTTGGATGCGCGTGCCCTTGTTTCTGGCGCGTGCTCCGTCCTTCAGCAGAATCACTGCGCGCGATAACGCGTCAGCATCAAGCAAAGGATAACTAATATTTCCAATGAATGATACGTCTGATAGCTGACGAACTGCACGAGCTTGATCCACTCTGGCATCGCTGATCCATATATCAGGGGGAGACGGGGCGCGTTTGAGGTGAGAGTGAACAGAAGTCATGCTTTATGATTGTGTTGTGCATTTTGTTGGTGATGCCAGGTTTCTGAGGACTCGTGCAAGGGCTGCAGTTCCGCCTGAGGAGCTGTCTGTGGTTCTGAAAGGATCGGGTGTCTGTGCAAGGTTGAGCATTTTTGGTTACACGAAAATTAGCTTCCTGTTCCCGTTTCTCGCGGGTTGAAGCAAGATAAGACAGCGAATCTCGCTTGACACATCATAAAGCGTTCGCATGCATGACATACGGGTGCAGCGCGAGGTAGAACAGTGTTTGCATTTAATTGGCTTGTCCCACCGATATTACAAAACTGAGAAGTATGTCTGATCTGTGATCTGCTGTCATCAGGTTTTCAGCGTTTACTTAATATTCTGTTATTTTTACCCTTGAGAGGAAAATCCTCAACCACCAGCGGATAATTGATTTAGATAGCCAAATATGGTTGTAATCCAAATGTTAGCTATGCATTTTGGTTTCCCCTCAAATACCGTTGGTAAAGCATGGTTGTAATTACAAATGACACAATCTGGTGGGGATTATCACAAAGACATTGCCAACTGATCAGTTCTGCAGTGTTGTAGCATCATAAATACTTAGATTTCTATTCAGTTACATATCATACAAGTTTTGACGTTTTAAGCAATCAGGGATCATTTTTTTTTGATTATTATTTATTTATTTGTGTGTGTATGTGCCTTGTTTCTCCCTATCAGGTGTATATATCCACTGGAGTAGCTGTTTTGCAGAGTTTTTGTTGAGTTTTTGAACCATGGCGAAGAACAACAGCCTCCATCCAAACAGCAATGGAGAGACGGACGACTCGCCAAACATGCTGGTTTACAGAAAGGTAGGACTTTTGAATAATTATTTGAATGGTTACTTTGCGAAAGGTATTGCCTTTTTGACAAGTAGTGTAAGCTTTGTGTTGAGTGCAGTTTTGGGGGGAAAAAAACTATGGCTAAAACATGAAAGTGGTGTGGGCGACAAAGGGGCTATTTGTCACACTTTTTCGTTTATTTTGGAAAGTCAGTTGCTGTATGGACACAAATCTTGAGATCTTGGTTACAAAAAGCTATTAAAGGAACACTCCACTAATTTTGGAAATAGGCTCAGTACACGATGTAACTACAGAAGAGTCAAGTTTTAAATAGGAAAAATATAGAAACTCTTTGGTCATTTTTGAGCAAGATGCTAACGGTCAAATCAGATTCAATGATCTATGCTAAGCTAAGCTAAAAGTGCTACCGCCAGACCCAGAGATCGGCTGAATGGGTTCGAAAACGGTAATAACTCTAGGGGAGTTGGAAAATGAGCCTATTTTCAAAAATAGTGGAGTGTTCCTTTAAACATTTCAACAGCTTAAAAAAAAAAGAAGAAAGAGTTTGTTTACCAAACATTGACCTTTTGTGGCTATATGGGGTTGTCACTGCGATTAAATAGCATATTACATTTAATCTTTTGCCTTTGTGACAATTTTCCCTTGTGACTGTGAGTCCCTCTGTAGGGCATTTTCTTGAGAAGCAACAGGAATGGAAAAACTCATGTTTTGAAAAAGGAGAGGTGGACATCAAAACTTTTTTGACCTTTCTTACTCTCCATCTTTCTGATGATTGGTAATTTGCTCATCAATGCTTGAGTCAAAGTCATTTATATTGCTGATTGGGAACTAAAGTCTGTCATTGTGGCTGAGAGCCACTAATGTACCACTCACCCTATGGAGACTCAAAAAAGGAACATGAATTTTTCACGAAGCCATTATCACATATTTAAAGACTTGTGTGGCAAATTACAGTTTCAATCATGGTCAGTCGTTGTATCATTAATTAGTAGCCTGCTTAAATGAGCTCTGATGATGAATCAGGTATCTGAGTGCTTCTCTGTGATGAATTCATAATTCTAGTTTTTATGCCGACATTAGGACTGGGCAATCTATTAAATATTTATGATGTATTTGTAATGATTTTGCCCAGCAATATCAAATTAATCAATACTGTGATAATACAGTTTTTATTTGTACATTTATTTTCTTAAACGGTAGCATGGCTCATTTAAACGTTTTTATAAATCAATTCAAATGGTTAGTTTCAATGAAACTCATAATAAATATTTAGAGAAAGATGCATTGCAGAAAGATGCGTTCTGCTGCCAGATGGTGTAGTTAAGTAATCTACCAGCAGGGACTAACAAGGCCATGTTAACCAGCCAAACCTTGATCCAATCCTCTGATACAGCAAAGACTTGCGACCCAAACCCCTGTGCGATCATGACTAGCATTTCTTCTGTCCTGTACCAGCTTGCCCTCCCGTCTCTCTTGGCCATGATAAATTTCAATCTGTTCCCTCAGGTGTGGCGGAAATATGTTGTCAGAACATGACAGTCAGATATAGTTTGGAGACAGTGAATCATTCATCTATCAAAGGTTGCAGAATCTTCCTGCAAGACTCTATTTATTCTTCCTTCTTTCATTTCATTTCCTTCACCCTTCAGTTGATTTTCACATTTCCTCCATGCTGCTTCAGTCCTATTAGGTGTGCTGTGCTGTGAAGGTGCAGGAAGGAGAGGTGCTCTGCAGTCAGAGATACTGTGGCTCTTCTCGTCGCATCACAAGACATTAACTCACCCAATTCAGAACTAATAACTACTGGCCAGTCTCTTATCACAGGCTTTTCTAACAGATCTCAAAGAGCTGAAAAGATTTATGAAGGACCTTAGGCAGAACAGGACCACTTTTCCCAAAAGCACCGCAACCCTAAGTGTACTGTAAAAATGGCCATACGAATCATCATAGAATTACGGACTGTTTCCCAAAAGCAAATTAAGTAGTTCTTGAAAATCTTAGATGTACGAGTCCTTGGGAGTAACTGTAAAGAGGCAGACTTATGCAGATACCTGCAGGACAAAATTACACCTAAATTTAATACAGTACTTTTCTGATGTGCTACACTTGACGCATTATACAATTAATTCTGCTTATTTTATTTATTTTATAATTAACGTGTGTATATTTTTAAGTAGCATATAAACCACTTTCTAACATTATGTACTTATTTGCTCATTATTTATTTATGAGCAATGCTTCACTGTTGCCATGTGCTCCATAAAAATGATAAATATAACAGAATAAAAATAGTACACTTACATAATTACAGTAGCAAATAAAACACCAGTAAAAAAGCACTCACTAGATCGATCAAACAGTTGAGAGAATATAATATACTGTAAGTGTTTTGTGTTACCATAGGAGGATGGTGCATAAATTTGTTCCAATTCAGTATGAACAGATGGAATTTCTAGGCTTGGTTGACCACCCATGAGTTTGTATTCCTTTGGAAAAGAGAGAAATACTGTATGATGAGGAATTTGGTGGAAAAACTGGCTTGGAAATGTTAAATCATAAAGTGCACTTTGTGTGACCAAGAGTGTCCACCAGTAATCATGAAAAAGTTGTAGCTGCTTTTGCATGCATGCCAATAAACTCCAACTGTAAGACTTTTAGAGCTGTAGGAGTGTAATTCTCAGTAGTCTACTTGATTAATTCCTTAGTTGATGATAAATTCTCAATAGTTTTCTACTTGCTGTTGGAAGTGTAGCATATTATCAAGCAAGATGACTGCAAGATATGTTTTTCCAGATTAAAAATCAACTTTCAATAAGCTTTCAAACCACATTTTAAATGTGAATACCATTAAATCTGTTTGCAATATAGTGCACAACATGATCTGTCACCATTATAAATTAGTAAAAGTCACAGGACCTAAACTTGAGCCTTGTGGGACTCCTTTGTAAACCTGCAATACTTTCCAATTTTAGTGTGACTTGATGAAAGAATCAGCAATGCTAACTGGAGGGAAAACATTGACACTCTCAAATTTATTCAGCAACTTTTCTTATACCTAATTTAAAGTTTTTTTTTAAGTTTTAAGACCGTTGCACACCTTTATACACCCTCTTCTCGCTCAACACCTAACACAATGGTGTAATGAAATAACGATCTTGTAGATGATGGCAGTTTTACCTTACTTTGTGTTTTGTAGCATACACCTGTACATTCTTGAGCTGTCCTGTTCGTACTGTGAGGGAGAGACAGATTGAGAAATAGACAGATACAAAGTCAGAGAGAGGGAGAGACAGAATGTTAAATCAAGAAGTGTACCTGGTGTCTGCTACATAGTTCCAAAGGTGCTGGAGAAAGAAATGAGTCACATGTCCTTCAAATACATCCTTCGGCTTGTTAGCAACACAGTTCTGCATGCAAAGCTGCTGTCTTCACACTGCATTCCACATAAAGTGTAGCTGTGAAAATTAAAATAAAACATTGACTTGTATGTCTGTTGACCAACCATTAGTGCAGTTTTTGGAGTTGAAGGTAAATAGTTGAAAATAGACATAGGATTAGTTCCTCCAAATGTTAAGATTTTGTGGTTGTTCTGACCACATATTTTGCTTTCTATATTATTGGTATTTGTAGTATATCATTATGTACAGTACATTACCAATCAAAGGTTTGTGATCAGTGAGATTAAAAAAAAAAAAACGTTTATTCAGCAAGCATGCATTAAATTAGGTGACAATAGAGACATTTCTTACTTTTTTATTGTTTTTCTTATTATCTAAAACACTCAGGGAACATGCAATGTTAAGTACAGGGTCTGTTCTGAGTCATTTCACTCATGTTTCAGGAATATGTGAGTATGCTGTATAATGGCTGTCAGGGGCTTTCGCAGAGTTAATCTGAAATGTTTCTTCATTTTCCATGGGCAAGACAATTGACAATCACACTCAGCTAAATAAATATTGAGACACACCCAGGCAAACGTATAGGCTCATAAACATAAACACACATATATATATATTGTGGTGCTCCTAAGGCACTTAAGCTATTGTTTATAGCCAGAGGGCAGCATAAATTTCCCGCATTAAAAGAAGTTCAGAAAAAGGCAGTTCTTTTCTGAAGGATCTTTAGACTTTCTAGCTATCACATTGTGCTGAAAATGCCCAGTCACACAAACTGCTGCTGGTGAATATAAATATCTCTTTTAGCTGACGGAGACACCAATCTGTTCCAACATGACCATCTCCACTTCTGCCTTCTTCTCATGCATAATTCATATCCAGACCAGCATGCTTCTTTTTTTTTATCACGCTGTACACCCTATGTTGAGTGACTACTACAGTATCTTGGCCAAACTCTGCACAGAACAGCTCATTTTTTTATGCGGGCCTCCATACAGTATGAGGAAACAGGATTGACTTAATCGAGTGTTGAATGGCTTGGCTTTTCTAATCCCTTCTTCTTGATTTGAGGAATGCACATCCTTCATTGGTGGTCCGTGACCCTGAGTGGAGTTGTCATCGGTGACAGACTATTATGACTCATCGTGTGCTATCTTAACGCTCTACGTACACCTATCTTCCGGCTGTTACGTCAATATGGTTTTGAGAGTGGTAACATATGTGCTGTTAGCGGGGGTTGTAGTGGGGAATGAGATGGAAATGAGAAATTGTCTCTTGGATGAATTTTTAGACTCAAAACCATGTTGCGTGACTGACACTTAAATGGATGTGCCACCTTCTCTTATTACGACACTTAACATTATGTTCTTTTGACTGTTCTAGGTCTTTGTTGATGCTTTTTGTACTGTGTGTGTGCGTTTGTTTTACACACTCATGTGCACCTCCTTTCCCACATTCAAGCATTATCCAAGCATTATGTGTGCATACATATACATGTTTTTAATGCAGTATTTATGCATTAAAAAATACATGTACACGACGATGTTAAAAACCATTGTGCTGCCTAAAATTTTTGTGGAAACTGTTACTCATTTCTTTTAGAATTTTTTGAACAGAAAGATCAAGAACATTTATTTGAAATTGAAATCTTTTGAAACCTTATACATGGCTTTACTGCAATTTTTATCAATTTATCAAATTTTGATCATTTATCAATTAAATGTGTCCTTGTGGAGTAAAAGTACAAATAAAAAAATCTTACTGGTCCCAAATTTTTGAATGGTGGTAAATGCATAATTTTTTAATGCATTTTTTTTGCACTATAAGAGCCACAAAATAGACCATTGTCAAAGTAGATATTCATATTTATTTTGCTGTGGTGTACTGAAGAATTTGTTCTTCAACAATCAAGTCATACAGCAGACTAGTAGACTGCAAGTCTGGCTTATCTATAATATTTTTAGCAGTGGTGCTTTAAAGGGAATGACTGCAGAGATGCAACTTTTCACAGAGCGTTGTGCCAATTGCAGTGAATCACTGATGACAGTTAACTCTGTCTGAGATGTTGCATCCTATGTTTAATTTAATTAACTTTAAAGCCCTGCCACTACAACTATTACAGCACCACTTTTACAATAATTTCACCGCTTTCAATAAATTTTAAGACAGTTACTGTCAGTCTTCAGATTGTCTGCTGTGAGCGATGTTCCTGTTATTTTGCATAGTCCATCTCAAGTTTTTTGTAACAACCAAGATATTATGCAATAAAAGTTTACAGATTTAGTAGCGCCCCCTGCCCCCCTGCCCAAGAGTGACACCTCTCAAGTTCTGCTAGGGTTGAGCACCAGGTTCTGGTAATATGTTGTAGCGAATCAGCTCAAAGGGGAAATATGAATAATTAATTATAAATATTTAGATCCGCTGTAAGTATTTACTTGATATCTCAGTGTCAACTGTCTGTCAATTCTACTCAGAACATGTAGCAAAAATCTGAATGATTAGGGACTCCAGTTATGAGCAAACAGTGAACAACCTCAAGTGTACTAGTCTAACATACACACACACACGTATACAGTTGGCATAGGAAAAGGGGTTAAAGCTTAAGCAGTAAAGAGAAGAGAATAAAGACATGGAGCTATGGTACAATTTGATATTCAGCAGATCTACAGCCTGAAGGAAACATCAGTTTCTTAGTTCAAACACACCTTTGTAAAAGAGTGCAAATGATACTTAATGTATCAATTAATAAAACGAAGTTTGATACTTGCACGTCTCGCCTGTTTGAAAAAGAGTCCTGATGCACTTTGGGGCTCCAGTTGGTCTCTGCTGAAGTTAGTTGATGAGAAAGAACCAGTTTGAGTCAGAGGATCTTGATGAATGGAAAGACTAGGCAGGAGCCTGGCTCAAGCTTAGGGTGGTTTTTAACACTCTTAGCTCAGCATCTTCTCCTGGAATTCCTGAATCTAATGGCGAATTCCTGAATCTTTTCCACTGCGTGGTACGACTCGGCTCGGCTCGGCACGGCTCGGCACGGCTCAGTACGGCACGGCACGGCTCGGTTTGCGTTTCCACTGCAGTTTAGTATCGCTTTAGTGTGGGCGGGATTATTCACATGTCGTTATAGTTGCGCCACCTCTACTGCCGCGACTCCTGAAAAACGTTTTCATTCCACGTCGCCCCATCAAGCTCTCGCTGGATCCGCTCCTCTGCTATCAACGAGAGGAACGTCTGTACTTCCTCAACAGGGGGAACAGCCACTTTTTGGTTGTTAAATAAAAGGTGCGCTCGTTCAAAACATTTACTATCAAAACTATTAAAGATTCTGGTAACACTAATACCTTCCATAGGTATCAACATATAATATAAATGAACATTTAGACCATTAAAAATGCAGCCAAAAGATACCAAACATGGCATACCTGTGATCTCTGTTAACAATAGTATGCAATTCTAAAATGTTAATTTAAAAGAGTTTATATCAATACATAAGCAAAACACTATAAGAGGAAAAATAATGAGATGGGGAAAATTGGGTACATGTCCCTACATTTCTCAAGTGGTTATATCTAGAGGGAGATAGAATTAGGATGGACTGTATAGTACAAGGGTATATTTGTCTGTTTCAAAGTGAATTTAGAGTGAAAACTCTACATTCCTTTGAGTTGTAAAACAATCTTATCTTGATGTGTGTCTTTGTTACCAAGGTAACCAGAGGCCTGGTTCTGCCCTTTTGAGGTGTTAGTTGCATTTTGGGGGAAGGGTCCATAGACCCCATGGAACCAGAGGCCTGTTCTGCCTTTCGGAGGTGTTAGATGCATTTCGGGGGAAGGGTCCATAGACCCTCGTAATTGGCCCTTTGTTTAGGTGAGGGGGTGTTAAATATTATTTGTTAAATATAACAAATAGTTGTGTCTGATTGGTCCAAATGCTACAATGTCTCTCAACTAATGATATAAATTATTACACACCTCTGGTATTAGTAATAGTTATAAGATAAGCCTTAATTTAAACTATATCAAAGGATTTTACACTGCAGGTAAGTATAGATTAGTTTAGGTAAATACTGTTAATCCAGGTGAATACACCAGGTAAGTATGGGTATGTATAAAAACTATAATGCTTTATTATGACAAAAAGTAAATAAATATATAGTCAAACAATAAATATTCAAATGTCAGTAAATAGGTTGTAACAAAGTGACCTGTCCCTCTCGGTTAGCGCAGCACTCACACACACACACACACACACACACACACACCCACCCACCCACCATATTTTACCTTTTCCTCCTCCGCTGTTTCCTGAGGCGATATGTGGGTGCGCACGCACACGGCATCAGCACACTGGTTTCCATCCACGCAATCACATCCATGCCATTTCCATCCCCTGACAATAATCTGCGCTGCGTATAACACAACATGCATATTTTGGAGTTGTCTTTTTTGTTGGTTTTGTTTTGTGTTGTAAATACTTACCTGTGTTCAGTGTTTGCCAGCATCTGTGTTGCTGGTCTTGAGTTGCGTTTCCTCCATCGGCCGGCCAAACCCGAGCACCACCCAGCAGCCTGGATAAATAGTGCCAGTGTGCCAGCAACCGAAAGCCGGCTCATCCATTGTTTGTGTTAATAAGAGGAGTTATGGAAATGAGTTATTGTTATGTGTTTATTTTTATTTGTCTATATTTGTATAGTTATTTTGACTGAATTTTGTTTCTGTAAATACTTTGTTAGTTTATATGTGTATATATATTTATGTGATATTGTCAATATGTACCTTAATAATGTTTGTAATGGTTTTGACTAAAGGGTCGGAGCTTGGACTATAAAAAGGAGTGTGTGTTGTCAGTTTACCTGGCGAGCGAGCATGTAACTGTGGTGCCATGAGCAGTTCTTACCAATACTGAAGTTTGTGTGTATATATTTATCTCTGTTTACTTCTTTGTACAATCTTTTCTTTGTTACTTTGTATATAGCGTTGGTCATTTTTCTACTGGGACTGTTTCACCTCTTGAGCACTGTAAATAAACCATCACTTTACACTATAACACCTTTGCAAGTATTGTCATCATTTTTTGAGGATTTTTGGATTTTTTTTGTGTTAATAAGAGGAGTTATGGAAATGAGTTATTGTTATGTGTTTATTTTTATTTGTCTATATTTGTATAGTTATTTTGACTGAATTTTGTTTCTGTAAATACTTTGTTAGTTTATATGTGTATATATATTTATGTGATATTGTCAATATGTACCTTAATAATGTTTGTAATGGTTTTGACTAAAGGGTCGGAGCTTGGACTATAAAAAGGAGTGTGTGTTGTCAGTTTACCTGGCGAGCGAGCATGTAACTGTGGTGCCATGAGCAGTTCTTACCAATACTGAAGTTTGTGTGTATATATTTATCTCTGTTTACTTCTTTGTACAATCTGTTCTTTGTTACTTTGTATATAGCGTTGGTCATTTTTCTACTGGGACTGTTTCACCGCTTGAGCACTGTAAATAAACCATCACTTTACACTATAACACCTTTGCAAGTATTGTCATCATTTTTTGGGGATTTTTGGATTTTTTTTGTCTTTTATTTTTGTGTGTCTGAACCCATTTTTCGAGCCTGCAAGCACCCGTTGTCTCACATTTGGTGTCAGAAGTGGGATGGCTACTCGCAAGACTGTGAGCAGGAAGGCAGGAAGCCTACTCCATGCCACCTCAAGTCAGACCCGTCTCTCCTGCTGCAACATCTGGAGGTGGAATGTGGAGGTGTGATTTCCTGAGTGCACAAGAGCAGAGAGAGCAGCGTTATCTACTGGAGCTACAGAGTCTATGAGAGTCAATTCTGCATGCTGTCCGGCCAGCTGAAAGGTCCAGTGATGTCGAGAGCCCACGTATGGAGCTCCCAACGCCGTCTCAGCGCAGAGGCACAGCTTACCAGAGAGACAGAGACTCACCAACTGACATGGGGTCCAGCAGCCAGCTGATGCTATGAACGGAGCCGAAGTTACCAGTCTTCCAGCAGGGGGAGGACATTGAGAACTTCTTGCGCCGTTTTGAGCAGAGATCTACTCTGACTTGATGAAGCTGCTCTTGGAAAAGTTCAACATCTCTCCAAAAACCTACGGTCGGCGGTTCCGTGCTGCTTCTACGCCAGCTGGGGAGTCACCGACTGAAACTTACCATCGGCTGCAGAACTTGTACCGTCATTGGGTGAGGCCTGAGCTGCATACGAAGGAGATCGGTGAGATAACATTCCTGGAACATTTTCTCCGGGTTCTTCCCTATGAGATCCGAGTGTGGGTGAAAAAACATGAGCCGACAACTGGACTTGATGCTGGCTCAGCAGTACATCAACGCTCACCATGGAAGTCAGCTCTCTCACCCCACGAAAGGTCACTTTAAAAGTTCGCCCAGTGGCTCTGATAAACCTCATGTTGACTTAAATGTCTGTTACTCATGTACAAAAAGTAGCTCCTGAAAAAAAGGCTTGTTTGCTTTTACTGCCAACAACCGGGTCACAAAGCAACAGTGTGTCCGGTTGGTAAATCTAAATGACTGGTTTTTGCAATGTCACAAGAGAGGAGGACATTGATGTAAACAATATACGCAAGGCACAATATGTTCAAGTGACTGTAAATGGACAATGTTTGAATGCTCTTTTGGACACTGGTAGCTCTTTATCTTTGCTCAAAATAAATCATATGCCACATGTTCCATTTGCTAATCTGGTCAATGTAGAATGTGTTCATGGGGATGTGAAGCAGTGCCCTCAAAAAGAAGTTAATGTGTGTGTACAAGACCAGACTTATTTGTTGAATGTGGCTGTTGTAGAGGATTTACCTGCTGACATGATTTTGGGGAGAGACTTACCAGTGCTTACTGAAAATTTGCATTCTACCAAAGACTGTGTAACCACTTCTGACTATGCTGCTGTTGCTTATACTGTTGTAACACGAGCCCGGGTTAAAGCACGTCTGCAGTCTGTTGCAAGGCGGGACTAATGGCCCCAGAAAGACACGTCATCAATGACGACTAGAAAAAAGGTTTTGGTACCCCAGCCCCTGAGGTCCAAAATGAGGGTCTTGAAGTTCATGGCTGGAAGTTCTCAGAAAACATAAAAAAAGGGAAGTGACATGTGGCCAAGTATGGTGACCCATACCCAGAATTTGTGCATTTAACCCATCCAAGTGCACACGTCGTTAATGCACACCCGGAGCAGTGGGCAGCCATATTGATGTGGCGTCCAGGGAGCAGAACTCTGAAAATAACATAGGTCATTTGGGTTAAAAACGTATAAATACTCAGTATATATCAAACGGTTTTGGAACGGACAATGCAATAGTGGTAAAAACACGTTTACTCACGTTTATGCGTTGCGACATTACTGTTGGATCAACTCTAGCCAGACTCAGCACTGCATCGTTTACTTTCAGTCTATCTGAAAAGCCTGCATCATACTGTCTTGTTTAAAAATGAATCCGTAGTAAAGTAAGGCAAGGCAAGTTTATTTATATAGCACATTTCATACACAATGGTAATTCAAAGTGCTTTACATAAAA